AAAAGAAAATAGAACAGATGATAATTAAGTCATTTTCTGTCAGAAGAACATTGCATTTGGGTATCTTTATTGCTCTATGATGTATTCTTGTGTCAGTATAAATTCTCTTTGTGAGATATTATGAATTGGTGTACCCATCTAGATATGAGGTTATACATATATGTTCACATATGTCTTATTTGTGAGGGCATTGCATAGGTGTTTGGGGATAAGACCTTTCTCTGGAGCATCATTTACTTTCAGATTTTATCACAATGTTTCAAACTTATTCAGTATAAGGAACACTCAATTCAGCATCATAAATGCCTTGTGTTTCTTAATGAACTTGTCTTATTCAGTTAAATATTACAAAAAATGACTTGTTTCTAAAGAAAAACATATAGAATATGAAATTCCATAATTTTATTTAATAGTGAATGTCTCATTTGAGGCCAATATAAAAGAATTTTTTTATTTATGTATATTTTTGAGAGTTATAGAAGGGGATTATTTTCTCATTGTTTCCTAGATCTGTTTCTCTAGTGGTTATTGAATAGCTATATATCCATTATTTATGTTCTTCACACCTATTTTCATGAAGAATATATATTATCCTTCCACCACAGCATCTGTTGTCCAAATGAAAAATCTTGACTGAAAAAAAATGAGAACAAATAAAATATAGAGGACTATAAAAGTGACAGAGAATATATAACTCCTTTTAAAGAGAATGTAATTAATGACATTGTTGTTTTCTCTTTCTATTTTATTTTATTAGACTTGTGCTTGAGTCCAAGGCCTCATGTATTCTAATTAAAAGAGTTGACCATTAGACAATTTTTTCCTGTGTCTTTCTCAATAATCTTGCTCTAAAATAAGTAACAGGATGTTTTCCCTGTAGAAGTGTTGTCTGTTGACTGAAGATTTAAGAAATGAATATAAAAATGATCTTGTATTTTTATTCTGCTAGTAATTAAGCAAGATTAACTAAGTCATCTGTTTGAGTTGGTAGCATTTTCTCCAAGTTTTATTATACAGATACATATTTCTGTTCATTTACTATAAGCACAAGTGTGCTTTAGCTTAGATGTCATGGTACAGGCTTATTTCTCTGCGAAAATGACATACATTCCATCATGAAAAGTGACTGTACTTCTCCTTCATATATAAATGATAATAAGCTATTGTCCCAGAACATCCAGGACCAATGTCAAAAATGAGCAGGTACTATCAATGAATTGGGAAAAAAATATAGGAAATGTAAAGTTAACGTGTAAACCAGAAATTACTTACTATTCTATTTTAAGGATGTTACAACTAGTGGTGTGGGAAAGAGACTTAGATGCTCCTGAAAGATGGAGGCAGAGTCTACTAAAGATGAAGGTATCAAAAAACTACTAATTTTAAAAATCAGTGGTATCTTACATACTTCACAGCACTGCATTCACGTATTGATAAAGGGTTCCTGCTGTTGATGTTAATGAAATATGTTTGAAACATTCCTCGTGCAAAGATTCCAACTATTACTTGTTACAAACATCATGATTGTACTACAAGTTCACTTCTCCCCTGCCCCCATCCCCACAAAGCCGTATACTATCTTGTTTCTCTGAGCATCATTTAACCCTCACAGAGTAAATGGGGGTGATTAAGATAAAATTAAACCCTTATCTAGAAGTCAGTATTTTTTCCAATTTTAGAACACTGGAATTATAAATAAAGGGGCCATTAACTGCTCTACCATATCTTGTTTCTGGAAGACAAACATGCCCTTGGTTATCCTTGTTTCAAATTGAACCACCTGGAAAAAATATTATTATTTGAAAAATTAAATTATCCCTGTGGCCATTAAGACTTTCCTAAGGTGAGATTTCATCTTTAACAGAAATTTGTATTACATTTCTTCCTTGCTAAGTGCTTTACCTCTGCTTGATATGCATTTGAGTTGCTCCTTTGGGGGGAAGCCACATATCAAGAGAGTTGGAATAGCCTTGCCATCCTAGCTAGTGACTAATATGGCTGTTTGTAAGGGCTGGGGCAGACATTGTGATAAACGGGATACTTAGACATATTTATAGTTGATTCCCTGTCAGTTGTAGCCAAACAAAGTGTTTAAGTGACTCTTCTGCTTCTTTACAATCTTCTACCTTTCTCTCTCCCACAGTATCTATACACTCCATATTTTTCCTCTGGTCCCATTCAGTGCCATTTTAAATCCTCATTCATCTTAAGAAGTCTAGGTCTTCTAAGTGATTGGGTTTTGTGGAGTTTGATGTGTATATGACATTTTGATAGGATCCCTTTGACCTACACGACTTCTTTGACAGAATCATTTCTATGCCCCTAGAGATTTGGCATGCCACTTTGATGTGCCATTTAGATTCAAGGCTATTTCTGACATGGCTTATCAAAGAAACCGGGAAGCACTTGGCTTTGATCATTGTCAGCTTTACCCTATCTCTGAACTGACCTCAGCCTTATGGTGAGGATTAGAAAGGAAGTGGGCCCCCGTGCAGAAAGCAGGCGCTGGGACAAGAATGAACACCACCCACACGGTTAACAGAAAGTGGAGACTCGAACTGGCAAGATGGCTCAGTGTGCTACAGGAGCTTGTCCCTGCTACCCTGAGACTGATCCTCATGACCCACAAGGTGGAAGGAGAAAACCAATTCCATACAGAGTGCTCTGAGCTCCATGCATGTGCTGTGGCATGTGCATCTACACGCAGAGACACATACACACACATGCACACATACGTGTGTACATTTAATTATTTAATATGTTTAATTATACATATATGTGTGTATATAGATTGTAAAGTGGGGGCTCAATCCTAGTCACATCTTATTCATTTAAAATTGATTCTTAGTCTGCCTACCCAATTTTTATATATCACAGTGAAATATCAATTAATTGTTAAAAGAACTTATTCATCATCTCAGGACCCAGGACTTGTATCTATGGTGCTTTATCCCAAATTCTCTGGTTTATTTCCATAACTATAGAACATGGGGGAAATCATCATTAGAGTTACAGAAGAACCATTTATCATCATTCCAAATAGTCTGTGAAGCCCTGTTTTTAGCTATACTTTTAAGAGTTTAGTATCCTAAATATATGCCTTATGGAATGCTGTTGTAATAGAAGAGTTGAGAGAT